GCGTTTGTAATGTTTAACCCCCCCCCCCCCCCCCCCCCGCATGCATGCAGACCCCGTCTTCGAAAGGCCCTGCCTTGTGTGTTCCGCGAGACGAGTTTGCGTGAGAGATGCGGTCATTGTGCTGGGGGTGTGTGGTGTGCATCGGTCTGAGGCGGTGTGCGATGCGATGCGGGCTGGCCGGTTGGTCCGGGGCCTGGGCGGCCTGGGCCGAGAATCTGCGGGAGGGAGAGAGGGCCGGGTGGGAGGAGGGGCAGGGAGGGGGTCGGTCACCTGCGCGGGCCAACAAAAGTTCTCTTACCTTACACGTCTATTTTCGAGGGTTCGGAAATAACAAAATCTATTCGGGGGTTTGTTTGTTTGTTTATTTATTTTGAATCAAACGCCATCATCGGTCTTGTGACGAGACAAATGGCTGCTGAGGTTATGACCGAAGACTTAGAGCCAGGACGGGTCGAGGAAGAGGGCCAACGATCGACCTGCCTGCCTGCCTGCCGGTGGCCATGCCAGGCGATGCAGAGCTAGACATGTAGCTAAGGGGATGTGACAGACCGTCGTCGATGTATTGTTTGCAGAAGTAACCCCCGCCCCAGAGCCCTACGCCAAACCCATGTTCACTCGAGCAAGGAAGGGGATGTCGTTCAAGCACATGCCAGGTCGCGGCGGCCATTTTGAAAAAGGAAAGCAATAAATTCTATCATTGATTTGATTGCTCTCATGCAGCTGATGTACAATGATACAGAAAACAAAGGAAATGAGGTAGAGCAGCCGGGGTAGGCGTTGGCAGCGGCGGCCGCGCAGGGAAGAATCCAAGAGGGTCTCGTCAACAAGCAGGGATGCATGCTGTTCCGAGGACTTTTCTCCTCGAGCATCCCGTCGTCACCTTCTGCCACTCGCCAAGAAGCTGCTCTCGTGGTACTGCACCCGACCAAGTCAAAAGCAGACACGCTTTTTTTCCCCCGGGTGTATGCCGTCTATAGTTTTCCTTTCATACGGTCCCATTAACGAGTCCACCCGTGAGAAATCCATCGTTCCCATCTTTACCGTCGTACTCCCCCCGTCAAACCTGGCAGTCGTGCTTTTTCTCTTCTTCCCAGGGTCTACCACCACAACGCTTTTGGTGATTCAGATTCGCACCTCTCGCCTAGCCTTCGTCTCGTACCTCCCCCCACTCCATGTTCCGGGTGTCCGCTTAGTGGTGAGCGGCGTGGCTGTCGCCGTGATAGCCGATCAGCTTGAACCGGCCGATCATCTCGCCAACGGTGAAGAAGCCAAGGAGCTCGGCAACGAGAACACCGGCGGTGACGAGTTGAGCCCTCGAGACGTTGCGGACGGACTGGAGGGTGGCGCCGGTCTGGGACAGGAGGCTGCTGGGGTTCTGGATGCGCTTGATGGCGTTCTGCCAGTAGGTCTGGAAGGTGGCCATGGAACTGCAGAGAGAGAAGGGGCAGTGTCAGCGATACAGCTTCATTTGTATCATCTTGTTGCCTGTGTGTGTGTGTGTGTGTGTGTGTGTGTCGTTTCCAACTTACGGCGGTGACATGCTCTGGCCACGGAAGACAATCTTGGACAGCTCGAGGCCGACGCGGGAGTAGTAGACGACGAAGGGGACTTGGCCTGTAGCAGCAGCCATGTTAGCTTGTATCTCGCACGTATAAACCAAGTCCTGAGATCTGCGAATGCTGTCGTCCGTCCCACAGTTTTCAATTGGCCACTGCATTCGCAGGATCATGCCATCATCAGATCCCTTTCGTGACGATCCGATAACGCTCGGCTCAATCCAATCCCAGCCACGCATCAAAAACATAGAAAGGCAAAGGGCAGATGGGAGATGACGTACGCTCAACAAAGCCAATGACCCTGCCCGTCCGGCCGCCGACCTTGCCCAGGGCGTTGGAGACGCCCTTGGCGGCGCCGGCGATGGCCGGGCCGGCGGCAGAGGTGACACGGCTCAGGCCCTGCTGGGCCTTGGCCTGGTACTCGGAGGCGACCTGCTGGGCCTTGGCGGCGGCGTCCTTCGCGCCCTCGGCGGCCTTGGAGGCGGTCGTCGACTCGAGGCGGCGGGCGGCGACGGTGCGCAGGGTGGGCAGGGACTGCCGCAGCAGCGGGCGGGCAGCAGAGACACCGAGAGGCATTTTCGTCCGGGTCGTGGGGTTCCGGGGGGGCAACAGGGAGGCGTCGCTGGGTGCGAGGGAGGTCGGTCTGCTTCTCGGGGTGCTGTCGGCGGGCAATTGATGACCGGTCGGGGGAGGGCGATGGGTTATCACGCAAACGTTCACACACGGGGCTCTTCGTCAGGACTTTCGGGAGAGAGAGAAAAATTGGCCCTCTGGGCCTGGGGAAACATGGAAGAGCTCGGATGATTTCGCTGGTGGTGCTGTTGCCGAGGCAGTAGCCAATCACAGGCGGCCAATTCGGGGGACTGCGGGCCAGCGCTGGAGCTTGGTGGGTAATCTGTGAGGCAGGTACCTCTAAGTGTGCTATTTTTCTTTTTTGGTGGTCCATTGTTGGCCTGAAAACAGTTACAAATGCCAGCGAGAGCAGAAACCTAGGTACCTACCTGAGGTAGCAACCTGAACACAACAAGCTCTCAAGTGTTCCCTGAGGCTTTCTCCTTCAGGTCAGGTCTGAAGACTCTCTCGTCCATGTAGCGAGATCCCAATGCACTTTTATACAGGGGTCCGGTCGAGGCTATCGGGACTCTCAACCTCTGGATACATCACTTGCGCACCCTGCTAATCAACCTGGAGCTCACTCCCAACTCTCAGTCCATGCATGAAGAGAGTGTCCTTCTCAGCTACAAGTCTATACAATTCTTGATTTGATCAAATCTTGTCTTGTTATCTTCAATCTCCTCAACCTTGAGTAGTGCTCAAATTCGGTCTATTGCATACCCCAAATGCTAATGCAGAAAACATACAACAAAAGCCTCCGACACCTTGCCTTACTATCCATCACCGCCAACGTGGCGCCTTTCAAGTCCAGTCCCAAATTTTTATCATCACTGCGGTCTGCGCTCTCTTTCTAGATTGGCCAGGGTTCACTGGGAGCACCCTTCACCCCAAACTCGTCCCCCAACTCGCACCCCTCAGTCCAGGCTCTGGATCTGCACCTTGATCGCCCCCGTCTTGGGGTCTGCCGCCGTGTCGAACGCCTTGAGGGCGTCCTCGAGAGGGAACCTGTGCGTGACCAGCTTGGACAGGTCGACGACGCCGTTCTCGACCAGCCGGATGGCCCGGGGCCACGTGTTGCTGTAGCGGTACTGGAACTGCAGGTCGACCTCGCGGACGCTGAGCCGCATGAAGGGGATGTTGATCTCGTTCTTGCCGACGCCAATGACAAAGACCTTGCCGCCAAACTTGGCCGCCCAGATGGCCGCCGCGATGGAGCTCTCGACGCCCGTGCACTCGAGCGCCAGCGCCGGCTCGACGCCGCCGAAGGCCTGCACGATGGCCCTGCCCGCCTCCTCGGCCGGCATGCGCTCCACCTTGTGCGTGACGACCTCCGGGCAGACCTCCTTGGCGAACCGCAGCCGCCCCTCGTCGATGTCGGTGATGACGAGCGGGCAGGCGCCGGCGGCCTTGGCGCAGATCATGGTGATGAGGCCGATGGGCCCCGCGCCGCAGACGAGCACGGGGTCGCCGAGGCGCAGCTCGGCGCGCTGCAGGCCCGCGAGCGCGACGCTGAGGGGCTCGAGCATGGCGCCGTTCTCGTACGACATGTTGCCGATCTTGTGGCACCAGACGGCCGGGTGGTTGACGTAGCGGCGCAGCAGGCCGTCGACGGGCGGCGTCGACAAGAAGTCGACGCGCTCGCAGCCGTTGTACCGGCCCGTCAGGCACGGCTCGCAGGCGTTGCAGATGACCTGCGGCTCGATGGCGACGCGGTCGCCCACGGCGAGCGAGGTGACGGACGGGTGCACGGCGACGATCTCGCCCGCCGACTCGTGGCCCAGGACGTGGTTGCCGCACACGATCATGGGGCCGATGCACCCGTGCTTCCAGAAGTGGATGTCGGATCTGTTGTGCGCAACGCGGCAAACGAAATTTGTGTGAGCTTCCGTACAATTTCCCCTTCCTGAGCGATATATATATATATATACAAGCCACGAGCGACGACGACGACGACAACCTACCCGCAGATACCGGTACTCCGGATGGCAATGGTGACCTGTCCCGGCTGGAGCTTCTCGCCGCTCTTGACGTCCTCCACCGTCGGCCCCGTCTCGCTGATCCACAGGTCATGGCCCGGATTCGTAAAGACACCAATGTTGGACTTGGAGACGGCCACGGGGGCCACGTCTACTGCTGAGGGGCTCATGGTTCGCAGATCTTCTAGAATGAATGAACGGGAGAAGGAGTAATCTCAGAAAGAGTAAGAAGAAGAAGAAAGGTAGGTACTGAAAGGGCCTTTCGCAAAGCAAGTATTCTACAACGTGGCAGGTCTTCTCTCGTTCTCTCAAAACACCGAGATGGAGAAACAGCTATCCAACCGGGAGGGCGGGGTAGGGTGGTGGATGGACGGACGGACGAGGTACGGAGTAGGTAGGTGGTTCATTTGGGGTCCTGCCCATGCCGGCAACGTTCCTCTATTTATTCAGGAACCGCTCTCTCTCTCGTCCCAGTCTAATCAAATCTTTTGCGTGGCCTCTCTCCCCTCCCGATCTCGCATATCGTTCCGATGGGAGGGTCACGTTGCACATGCTCCTGGCCAACTAACACGGGACAAAAGAAGAAGTAGACGAGACGCAGGATGGGAAAGTAGCCAGAAATGCGCCCCTCTCTCTCCCCACTAAGGGTCTTGCTTCTCACGTCTTGATGGCTTGGTGGCGCACTTTGGGCGGGCGCCGTGGGGCGGTCCAAAATGCGATGCTTTGCCTCTCCCCTCTCTTCCCGTGCTAACGGTATAAGCGCAGCGATGCAATATGCCAGAGCTTCCTGTGCTGGGGTGGGAATCTCGTCGAGAAATCTCTCTAGATCGCAAAAAGTAGTTCCCAAGTCTTTTGCGTAGTGGCTCCTGGTGGGGGGAGGGTCGGGGGAGCACCACACCGACGGGAAGCAGTCCTGGAAATCTTGTAGTGTGCTTTTCTCTTCTTTTGCGCGCCAATCACAGCAGCGCCGCTTCAAACTGGCCCTCATCCTCCTCGGACGGGGGCTCTAGTTATTAGTTAAGATGTTATGGCCGGTCCTCGCTCCTCGCTTCTCGACTTGGCTGACTTGTCCGAATCGATGTAGGTTCGCAGGATCCATCCTCGGCCAGAATCCAGGACATATCAGACACGCGCTGATCCCTTAGAAGTCGCGATGCACGAACGGCGGTCTTTGGTCCCTTGGGGCTGATTTCTCCGAAGTTTCTCCTTGATTGTGTGTCTGTGTGCTGCCGCCTCCGCCGCTAGGTAGCGCTCACCAGAAAAATCCCCGCGGACGGGATCTCGTTTCTGTGAGCCTGCAACAATAATTTGAGGCACATATATATATATATATATATATTGCAGCAACCCAGGACGTGGAGCGAGGTAGCCAGGGACCAATGGGGCTCTCAAATGTCACCCTGCTGAGTGCCGACACGGGTTGGAAGAGGAGCCATTTCCGGCGTGCTGCTACGTTGTGATTCCGGCAAATGTTGCCCCGGGACGGAGACTGTGTAAGTGATGAGCTTCTCTCCCAACGGTCAGTTCTTTCGACATTCTGGGCAAAAGGAAGACTTTACTAGAGCAAATTCAAGATTGGAACTTTTGGATTCATCGCTCTTTTACTCGTTGACAATAAACTCTAGAAACCTCGGCATGGCCATTCGCTATCAGCATGTTCTCCAGAGTTATGGGATAGGCCATGACCAAGAATGCCACAAGATTGAAGGTCAATCACGCTGATATAATTTCAAGCCTCTGCAACTACTAGCTCAACTCGAGGAAGCAAAGGGGCGCTTTTCTCGATTACCAAGACGGACGACGGGAGGTAACGTATACTGTATATGCACGGCTTCATACAAACTATTCCATTCGGCCCACCAGACAAACAGACGGGCAGACCTAAATGACAAGATAGCACATACTCGAGTCCTCAGATGAGGAGAAACAATACAACACATAGAGCTAAAGGGAAGAAAAAAAAGAGAAAGCGAAAAAAAATGAACAAAGGCCACAGACTTCTTTTTTCCTTTCGCAGAACTCCGTTTTCAAAAGCACATGAACCGACTCCCCTTTTTTCGATGGTCTAGCCACTCTAACGCTTCTCTATAGAGGAAAATGCAAGGACGGAGGAGAGAGACCACGAGGTTTCTTGCAAGTAACAAGACAAGTAAGAAACGGAAAGCAATAGACTTTTTTCCTTTTTTTTTGGTATGTGCCACGAGCGTCTCTGGAATCCGGTTCCAGAGCGCGCCTCATGGTAGTGTCGACTGCTCGAGTCGCGGGTTGGTATTAAATGGTCGGTCTATTGGGTATAACTTCGGATGCGCGACCTCCAAAAAAAGATTCTCCGTCAGATGCAGAGTGTAACGCCTGTGAAACAAGATGCGGGGGTGCTGGTAACGGAATACACTGAGGTATGAGACATCGAAGACTATGCCTCAAACATGCGGGTGTAGGTGCAATGTGATTGATAGTCGTCCAGTGGTCAATTGGCCCATGTTCGGCGACTTGGGCTCTCGACAGGAAACAATTCATTCTTACTGCATAGCCTCCTCGCCAATGTTGGGAAGCATGCCGTTCATTCCGTTGAAGTTGATGTTCAGTCCGTTCTGGTTCCCTAGTTGTTGCGCCATCGTATTTATGAGCGCCTGCTGTTGAGCAAGAAGCTCTGGGTCACACTGTGGAGAGTGTTGTTTGTGCTAGAAGACCGAGTTAGCATATAGCTTCCACGAATACGTTACGGAACTCATCAGCTTACATATTTGAGGCCGTTCAGATTCTTGTAGCGCTTGCCACAAGTGTCACACTTGAATGGCTTCTCCTTCTCCATCCCCATGGTTCCGGGGTATGGGGCAGACGTCTCCGGGTTAACGATGGAGAATGTGCCATCGCCGTTCTCGTGCAACTGTTGAGTAGCGTGGCCGTGGGTCTTGTGATACCTAGAAGAATGTAAGTGTCTTGGCCCCATAGAACCGAGTGTGTCTTCTTGCACGACTCTTGGGATTCATGGAAAACGTACTTGAGACCGTTCTGGTTCTTGTAGGCCTTTTCACATCCGATAACTGGACACTTGTATGGCTTGTGTTCCTCCTGGGGAATGATCAGTGCCGCGCTCATCTGCTGGAGCAGCGCCTGCGCATCGGTGCCCTGAGGGAACTGGCTCGCGTCGAGGCCAAATTGGCCCAGTTGCTGGTTGAGCCGCTGCTGGTTGGCCAGGGAGGCGTTGAGGGAGTTGGTAGGGCTGAAGAGACTCTTGGCGGGATCATCGATGCAGTTCAGATCGAGCCCGCCGACGCCGTTGCCGAAACCGAGCCCGGCCTGCTGAGAGCCGTTCAGGTTGAGGTTTGCGAAGTTCATCTTCATGGGGACGTTCTGGCCATCGTCGTCGGCATCGACACCTCCTGGAGTCAAGGGGCTGTCCTGAGAGAACTGGTTACGTGGGGTGAATCCCTGCTGTGTGGTCAGGGTAGGAGTGTTGACGGAGGAGACAGTAGGGTTGTTGACGAAGCCGAAACTCGCTGCGGCAGGGGTGGTCGGCGCTGAAGTACGCAGAGCCTGCTGTGTCAAACCGGGGCTGGTCAGGTTGAGTTGGGGTCGTTGCTGGCCAAACATCTGTCGAGTCTGCTGAATAGTGCGTTGCGAATCGTCCATATCCATGACTCCCACGGCATCGTCCATCTCCATGTCGCCGACAGTATCCATGTCATCGTTCATCGCTGACAACGTAGCGTGTTTCTGTGCTACGGGCGTAGATTGTTGCTGCTGTCGCATCATCTGCTGGAGTCCACTCATACCAAGACCAACGCCAGCGCCCGAAACACCAGCGCCTGGCCGACCTTGCTGAGCGGGGCTGCCTAGCTGTCCAGCGCCCATGATACCTGGGTTCATACCTCTGCCAGCGGACGGCCGCGGAACACTCTGACCGGCAGGGCCTTGGGAGGCAAAGTTCCTCGATGAGTTGTTGTTGGGCTGAGTGTGGTTCTCTTCGTAATGCTGAAGAAGGTCATGCATCGTGGGCCAAACTCGATCGCAGCACATAAAGTCGCGCATGAAGTTGGCCTCGAGCTTGGGGATATATGAAGATGAGTGGAAAGATGGCGACTGGTAGGCAGGGTAGGGCGAAGTGCCCGTCATTTGTATCCTGGAAGTGAGAGAAAAAAGCTCGAGTTAGCGCCCATACCGACCAAAACAGTGACCATGGCACTCCGTGAGACCATAAAACATGTTCCTTTGCGACAGGAACCATGAGGGGCCATTCTCAGGATCCAGACCCATGGTACGAACAAACGAGGCTCGGTCGAATGCTTGTAAACAGTTGGACGGACTGGAGGGCTGAACTTACTCATCGCGAATGAAACTGCTCACGGAGAGGCCACCCCAGCTCACGCCTCCCATCATACTGCCAGCCAGAGACTCGCGCCGCTGGCGGTGAGACTCGCGGTTGGGGTTGATCATGGAGATGGGCTTGGCGCCAGCGCTCACGAAGGAGTCTTGGCGACTGCGGCCCATGGCCGAGTCGAGGGAAGGGCCGGTGGTCATGTCGATGGAGCGGTCGGAGAGCTCGATATCCGAGGTTCCAAAATTGTCGTGACCAAGGTCGAGGATGTGCGCCGAGGGCGGTCGAGACGACGAGCTGCGGTAGGGCGCGACGATGTCGATGGGTTTGGGTTTGGTTTGGGCGGATGCGGGATCGCTGAGCAGGTTTGCGCGATCTCTGGACGGCGAGTTGGGCGTCGCAGGCTGCGGGGAGGGAGTCGGCGATGGTGACGAATGGTCCAAAAGTGAGGGCGAGTGGGAGGCAAAAGAAGGGTCCGTCGAGGATGCGCGATAACAATTATCGGCGGAGGCGATGGTCGCAGTGCTGGACGGCCGGTGGGAGTGGGCGGCACCACCAACAGCGCTGAGACCCGCGCTACTGATCCCACCACTAACTGGGCTGGCGCTGGCTCCGGTCTTTTTGGCGCTGTCGCTGGGGCTATTTGGACTGGGTGGGCCCCGCTTCAAGTGCTGCTTGGTACCGGTACCTGTGCTGCCAAACCAGCTCAGGGCGCTCTTCATTGCTTGAGGGCGCCACCAGGCGATACCGTACGGGGGAAGATGCGGTCTTGGCGCTCCGTGCCTGGGCAGCTTTGGGGGACTGGTGGGTAGAGGGCGCTGAATGTGCGTGGAGTGATGCAATGTGATGATGAGGTTCGCCGACGCCGTTCGAGTGAAGGACGGGTGCGTCTGTTATCAAGGGCTGGCTCCTTTCAATGTTCCGGTCATCTAATAGAGCCTTTGGAAGAGCCGAGGTGATGTGATGACAAAGCTCGGCCGTCCTTCGAATGTCTGGTTGATCCTCCCGAGAGTAGTCCGTGGTCATCGATGGTGCTCACCCGGAGGACAGCGACGTGCTGGGACGGGTGCAATGGCTGTGCTCGGATTGGTCCGGGATCGTGTAGCTGGAGTCTGTGACCGGGGGAGTCTCTCCAGCAGCAGCCCGTGTCGGAAAATGGCCAAATCACCAATCACGGGCGAGTGGCGGGATGTACGTAACTATGCACTGCACAGCTCCAGGGGCGCTGCGCCTGTCTAGTCTATGTCGCCGCCGCGGCTCGTCGGATCCTTGATAGATATAAGGAGAAGAATGTAACCGGGTCAAGAGGGGAGTAGGTGGGTGAATATAGGTAGGTACGGCAAGGCGAGACAAGACGAGTCCAGTCTTATAAACTGTGGTTGAAAGACGTGGCCTGGAGTAATGTTGAGAACATGGGAAGTCCGGCGTAGCGTCTCCGGAGCGACACACAAATGCCTTGAGACCTCAAGGCGGCAGGCGCTCCCGTCCTCGGCACGGACGAGGCTACTGGGGAGGGGGAAGCCGCCTGATATCGCGACAGAATGCGAGCTGCGTCAGTGGGAATTTGAAACCCCAACAACTCGCGCGCAAATCACGGAGGGATGGGCACTCCAGTTGGCTGTAGAAAAACGGTGGAAGGTCCGACAGGATGGGGAAATGCGAGGGCAGGGTTGGGAGGGTTTGGGAACTGCAGGATGCGGGCATGCAGCGATGTTTCAATGACGGGGGGGAGCTGTATATGAATGATCAGTGTCCTGCCTTTAGGATCAGGCTACTCTACGGCTTGAGCAACTACTGGCATATCAAGCCACCAGCCATGAAGCCAGAAACCCCAAAGCAATCAAGGCGGGGGGAGTGAGTGGGTTGATTTGCGGTTGAGTGCTTGGCTGCCTTCCCCGTCTCGATCTCAATCTTGGTAGCTTTAAGAGGATCTATCCTGGGTACCAGAAAAAGCAAAAGATCGCCAAACAATGAGATAGTCTCGCGAACCGGTTCACGGTAGAGCGAATCGGGCGGCGCAGATGGGAGCATGAGAGAGACACGCAGTCTGGCGAGGGCAGATGTATGTGTACAGGCGCCCAGCGATGGACGAAGGGATGTTCAAGAATGTAGAGGATGCTTTCTTTTTGTCTCGCTGTTCTCACGCGAAGCATGGACACACACATGCGAGCACACCGCACGATGACTTACACCACCAACCTTGCACGGAGCACCACCACACTTATCACAAAGCCCCCGCACACACTCTCACGCACACCACACCCACGGACACACACACAACAGGCCCTAGCCAGAACTAACCAGCGGTCTGGGAGGAGATGCCGTCGAATGGCAGAGGCGGACGGCGGACCAGGGTGTGTGGGTTTCAACCAAAGGATAACTACAGGATGTTGCCAGGATGGTAGGCCATATTGCACAGTGCAGACATCGTTGCCCCGTCTGGATAGCCAGGTACGACGGCGCTAGCCTCAACCACTGGGCCAAAAGCATCGTGATGATGATCCCCGTACCCAGCTCCTGAAAAAGACATCATAGACTTGGTAGTCGGTGGTCCTGGACAACCTCGCTCGACGTGGACGGATATGAATCATACAGGGAAAGTAATACTACATGCAAAACAAACCCACGGCTCGGCCGAGAAGCTCTGGGGTTGCTCGGGGAGACAGTTGACTCAAGGTCTTCAGTGATCACTGACTGATTCACAGGCATTCGTAGGGGGATGCGAGTACCTGGCTCGAGCAAAGATGGGCGCCCCGCTCCTTCCGGGCCCTGGGAGGTCATGGGATAACAGAGGCGATTCACACACAGGACAGCACAACGGACTGTGGCCGTGGCGTCAACCATTGGCGAGTAGTGCTGTTTAGAGCCACATGCAGGTCAAGACTCATATGCGGTGCGTCTTGGGGGAAAAGATGACAGCGTATTGAATGGGTTACACAGCCTGATGAGTCTGCTCGCACGGCATGGCTGTAGAAAGCCAGAAAGGGGCGGCGTGAAGGCGGTGTCAAGCCCAGAGAGCCAGTCAGCGCGAAGCCGTCGACATCCTCGGCGGTCGAGTACATGGACCTGACTCATACCCCGTCCCAGCCCGGCCAAGGTTCACGCATCCGGCAATTCTTCCACTCTTCCCCGGAGGTGGTCCAAATCCAGCCACGCCGAACAACAGGCAGCCCTCCAGACAACCTTGGGGTGCGCAAGTAGTGAGGTAGTAAAACCTTGGGTCGTCGAGGCCTCTCGGGCCTCCGTCGTCGCGCTGGTTTCCTGTGAGCTGAAGTCTAAAATCGCTGTCTTGGCCGACCATACCTTGGGTTTCATGCTGACTCGAAATAGCCCAAACCATGATATCCACTACGGAGGTCGATAGCCCACCCAGACGAGTTACATCTTTCCCTTCTGCGAAGCTGGCACTCGCCCTAGCCATGCAGCTAAGCATCACACTTGGGCGCACGGCTGGGCGGCAGTGAACCGACTGCAAGTGACGGCAGCAGCAGCAAGCAGCCCCCACTCATGCAGGGAAGGACGGTTGACTCGTGGAATGCGTCGAACCTCCATATTGAAGCTAGGCTCGAGGGGATATGGAGACCGCCATCTCGCTTGCAGGCTCCCAACCCCTGCTCGGCGCACGTTTAGTACAGCATCATCCCGTCTCCAGCATGGACCTCTGCGTAATTCCTTGTCCGTAGGACCGCAAAAGAAAGCATGGGAAATCTCACCGCCCGCCGCAAGCGCAGAAAGACTGAGGACCCTGGAATGGCTTGTTTGGCCTGTGCTCACGGGGTCAGATACCGTCCGTTTGGAGAACGGAACAACGCCCACCTCATTGAGCGCACCAGATTGGCAAGGCAGGCTCAGCAGCGCAGAGAGCCTGCGCACTGTGCGGTGGACCAGAACCTGAGCAGGAGGCTGGGACAGGGCCGCCAGAGCACCATCGAGCGCCGCGCGAGGGTAAGTTGACCAAGGTCGAGGTTGGATCGCCAACGGCGGTGGCCTCTTGCCGGGCCTCCACCCCGCGCCGTCGCGGGTTCGATCATCTAGATACAAGACCCATGATTAGCCAGGCGGCACCGGGCCAGCGTATCTCTTTTCCGCCTTCTACGTACATCGAGTGCCCCCTAAGCGAGCCTTGCGCTCCCCGGTGCAAGCCCGATATGCTGTCATATCCGACAATCTGTGGAGTGGATGGGCAAGGCCAGTAACCAAGTGCGACAGACGATCTGCTACCTGCTGGAGGGGGGAATGCAAGCGCTGACACCAGGCAAGGCCGTGGAGCCCTCCCCGTCATCTCCCCCAGATCTCCCAAGCATGCTTCACTCAGGTCGATGCTGCGCGCGTCCTCGATCACCAGACCCATCGCGAATTGCATCATGCATGTGTTCCATCTCGAAACGTGCTTCCGGATCCATATCTTTGTTCCATCCATCTCCACTGGCTATCGTTAGACGGAAGCAAAGATGCGTTCTCCTGCAAGCTAAAATGATATGATAACCTCAGCGCCGGATATCAATTCCCCTCAAAATAAGACTGAGACAGAGATTCCACGCTCAGCATGACAGAAAGTATGGGGCGGTTATCCTTCCTGTATCCAGCTATTGCTGTCGCAACCTCTGCGCAAGCAAGAATGCTTGTTTCTGCTAGTATCAGACCTCCTGCGAACCTCCAGAGACTGACAGGACTCTCGAATACCCATTCGAGTAACATTGCAACGTCAGATACAGGGATGGTGTCCGCTGATATCTGACTCCGTGAATCACTATGATTCACAGGGTCACGCAGCAAAAATGACTGGACTTTGTCATCAGTAGCATCCTGCAATTGCAAAAGATGGTAGTGTTCTCTTAATCCTCCATTGGACAGCCACACCAACGGGACATCGTTCGACATGAGGATGGGCTTTCGTCACTGTTACGTGCCTCGAAAAGAAGCTGAACAGTAATGCGGTTCGGTTCACCTTCACACGTTTTGCCAGACAGCAACTCCCCGGCCATGAGCAAAGTCACTGTACATGCAGTCGTTTCCACCTTTGCTCCCGCCTGCCTCGGCCTGAGCCAACGGCTGGCGTACATACGGAGTACAGGTGCCCAGAGAGGCTAGGCTTGACCCGACTGTGCCTGTGAACTTCCCAGTCTTGCCCGTGGCTGACCATTCCCTCGGCGCTCCTTGGCTCGTACACTAACTTCTTCTCTTGGGACGGTGGAAATTCACCCAAGCACTGTCTGCCGGACCGCCTAACCTATTCCCCTTCTTAGGCTGCTGGGACCCGTCGCTCTAAGTGGATACAGGGAGCATTCGAATTTGTCACAGAGCCTCTGTCTGGCCGTTCCATGAACGGCTAATAACACAAAGAGGGACCGCGTTGTCCCGAAGAAGGAATCAAAGTGGGATCGAAGTGGTTTTATGGACCTGACAGGTCTTCTAGACTGGGACATGAAAAATGATTATCGAAATCTAAGCACCTGCTTGGGCTCCGGACGTGAGGTCCGGATCCGCGAGGCAAATGGTCGAGAGAAGTGAAACAGCGTGGTTCTCGATTGGCAGGAGAGAGAAAGTGAAGCCTTATTCAGCCAGGACATTGTGTCCGCTGGGACTTGGGTGAAACGACGGTCTGGACCTTGCTCGTGGGAAGTCCTGGAGGTGGTCGCGTGCTCCAAGAGTTCGAATGGGTGTTCCCGTATTTCGAGAGGCGACTCGTAATGGGGGTTTTTGGTCCCCGTCGAGTCAGCGGAAATAATGTGTCAGCAAAGGCCGGCCGTTGTCTTGCAAAATAGCGCAGCATGGTCATGGGTCGAGGTACATGACAGTGCCGGAGCAAATTGATTCCAAGAGTTCGGTAGGTAATGCAAAGTACAGAGACAAAGCCGAGTCAATCGCGAATTCCGGGACTCGAGCTGCTCCTGGTGGCCGGCCAGACCGGCATCGTCGACTGCCATCAACGCCGTGCTTGAGCCTTGTGCCAGTCCGGCGATTCGCTCCGCGGAGAAAGATGCTAGAAATAAACTTTGCCATCATGCAGCACTCGCGGATGGACGGGTAGTCTAAAACAGATTCGATGTGCTAACCGCGGCCGCAACTGACAGGACAGCCCATGAAGTACGAGGTCCAAATCGTACCGCAAAGCAGGACGAGTCCAGAATCAACGTCGCTACCTCATTGACAACTCGACCAGCGCATTTCAACCGCCACTGGGAACCCAACTGATAACCCGGAGGGGTTCGTGGGTCATGCCCACGCGAAAGCGTATTGTTTGTCAAGTTAAGTGATAGAAACAGGGGGTGTAGTATTACGAAGTGTACTCGAGCAACTTCTATCAGTGTCTGTTTCGACTGTTTCAGGGAAACATTTTGGCTGCATACACTCAGATCTCAGGCGACACTCCCATCAAGGGCCCGGCCTCTGGAGCTTCAAGTGAGCAGCAGGTGTGCTTGGCAATAAACAGGTGCACGTGAGAGCAGAACACGGGCAGATCCGGATGGTGGTGCTGGGCATGGTACGAGGCGGCCTTCTCAGGAACGAGCCCCATCCGAAAAGCAAATCCCGAACGCTGGCACCGTCCGTTGAGAACTCACCCAGTAGGTACTTGACACGGGCGCTATTTACATTTCTATCTAGGTACCTATTCCAGGCGTCCTAGGGGGTTCGTCCAGGCTCCAAGAGCGCTGAGAAGGTGCGGCTCATGCCCTGTATGCAAGTGGCTGGGCCCTTCAGGCGGCGCCGGCGGCGTGGCTGACAAAGACCATGGTCCCGCCGGACTTACATCGGCATTCACTCTTCTTTTTCAGGTGCCCGAATGGTCGCCTCCGGCACACGGCTTTGGCCGACTCGTACTGTCGTCATACACCTGACGCCTCTGTGTACCAGAGCCAGGCGCCTGCATCATGCTTCCCTAGCTGTTAGTGTGGCGTGATAGCCAGTTTTCTGGTCCTGAGAATTATCGACATCGGCGTTTGCCTTCCCCGGATTCTTAAGCATTTTTGCCAATTGCCCTTGTGTGTCAGCTCACGCACGTTCGTCAATGGCCCTATTTTGAGAGATTAAATATAAAGAGCATTCAAGTGGTTGGACAGGAAATGCCCCTTGCCTGGAAATCTGACTCTCTTGTTCCAAGCCTCACCTAACGCGCGCACTTGATCAATTCCCCCCTTCGGCGACTCGAGATACCTAACCCTCCAGCGGGCAAGCTTTTATCTTATCGGCGTCTTCTCGGCAACCACAAGTGCGCATCATACGACGTAACCTCGCAAACGTAAAACTCACGTCAACTGCATCGCATAGGTTAGCGAACTCTTCTCTCCAACTTCCAACCTTTCAGACAAGGAGGACTCAAGGGCTCGAAATCTGACCCAATCCTGCAGAGATATAGACTTTCTGTTTTCCTATACAGCGACCAGGTTTACTGAACTGTTCGCTCCTTGGGCTACAATTTTGCCTGCGACAGAAGAATAGAAGAAAAAGAAGAAGCAGATCAGACAACCCCCCACCAACCGCAACCATGAAGGTCATGACAAAGGAAGAGGAGGCGGCCCACTACCACGAGGTAGTCAAGGGCGGCCTCATCGGCGGAGGCATCGGCCTCGTCGCCGGCCTGGCGGGCGTCGTCGGCGCCTCGCGCCGCTACCCGGCCTTCCGCGGCCTGACGCTGCCCTTCCGCGCCTTCCTCGTCACCTCGTCGGGCACCTTCGGCGCCATCATCCTCGCCGAGCGCAACTCGGTCGAGTTCGGCAAGGCGCAGGACCCGCGCAACTTCTACAAGGACGAGGCGCAGCGCGCCCTCGAGGCCGCCCGCGCGCAGGAGTCGTCGTCCCAGCGCGCGCTGGCCTGGGCCCGCGAGAACCGCTACCGCATCGTCGTCTCGTCCTGGCTCGCCTCCGTCGCCGTCGCGCTCGCCATCGTCGGCCGCAACAAGTACCTGACGACGAGCCAGAAGGTCGTCCAGGCGCGTGTCTACGCCCAGGGCCTGACGCTCGCCGTGCTCATCGCCACGGCGGCGCTCGAGGTCGGCGACGCCAAGCGCGGCACCGGCCGCTACGAGACCGTCATGGTCATCGACCCCAACGACCCGGAGCACAAGCACCTGATCGAGCAGAAGATCCACAAGGAGGAGTACGAGGGCCAGGATCTGTGGAAGGGTGAGTTTGTCCCGAAAAAGCAAAAAAAGCCGACAAAGCATCGGTACAGAGTATGCTAACCTCCCTTCGCTTTCTAGACATGGTCCAGGCTGAGGAGCGCCGCATCGCCGCCGCCAAGAAGGAGCGAGAGGAGGAGGAGAGCAAGCAGGGTGCAACTGCCAACTAACTTAATACCACCTACACATCTCCCCTATACCACACACGCGTAACACATACATTCGGCCAGGAGCCTGCCTCTCGGCTACACGCCCTCTTTTGAAAAGCCGGACGCGGATGTAACCACGACATTTTGGCGTTAGGGTTTCTCGCATTAGTGAAACGATGCCCATTTAAACATTTGTACGATTAGAAGAGTGCATTATCAGGTTAAAGGGAAAGCGAAAGGGGGAGGCAAAAGACACAGTTTCATACTTTATACAACATATCTACGGTCAAATCTTACAAAGCATATGCTCCAGGACACAATCCCTAAACTTTGCTCTAGGTGACATGCAAAGCCCATGCAAAACACAAAGATGCAACTCCGGCCTTGATAAGGTATGATGTGCAAGAGATATCCATCATCCTCAGCCCTGACCGCAAACACTTCAAGACAATACCCGCCGCTTCCAACATCTACACCGCTTGATGACTTTATATGTGGACTGCTCAGATATACTCATTGAAATCATAAACGTGGTATTCGCTCTTCACCGCCTTAAAAAAATCACCAGCCTGCCGCTCCAGATTTCCCCCCTTGTTCCCACCCAGAGAATCCTTGGCCCCTGCCCTCCCCCCCTTGTTCTAATAACGGATCGATATAATTATATCATACCTCGATGCTGAAGTGGCTGATTTGCGAGTAGTAGGCGTGCACCGCCAGCTCTAGTATCCACACGTCGCCAAAGACCTCGCTGCCGTCGAACCCGCCAATCATCAGCAGGCGGCTGTCGTGCAGCACGGTGCCGTGGTAGCCCCTCCCGCTCGGCGGCAAGCCGTACACCCTGCGCCGGTCCCAGGCCATCGTGACCAGGTTGAGGAGCAGGACGTCGTTGGCGTACTCGTTGCCGTCGTGGCCGCCTATGACGAACAGGTAGGACCCGACGATGGTGGCGGTGTGGGACAGGCGCCGGTAGGTGATGGGTATCGTGACGTTCTTCCAGACCTGGGTCTCGACGTCGTAGACCCAGACGTCGTTGAAGCACTCGCCGCCGTCTGAGCCGCCAAAGATGATGAGCTTGCTCCCCACCATGTTGGCCGTGTGGTACCCGCGCGCCTTGGGCCGCAGGACGTCCTTGGTGCCCGGCGGCGACCCCTTGTCCGGCGAGGGGCTCGAGATGAGCTTCCACGACACCTTGCTCGTGTCGCTGACGTCGAGCCGCCAGATGTCGTTGAGGGCGCGGACGCCGTCGCCGCCCCCAAAGACGTAGATGCCGTTCTTGTGCAGGCAGGCGGTGTGGGCGCGCCGCTTGGACGGGATCTTGTCGCCCACGATGCGCGGCCTGGACCACTTGTAGTTGGCCGTGTCCAGCACGTAGATGTCGTTGTAGTAGGCCGGGCCGTCGCCGCCGCCGAAGATGACGAGCTTCTTGCCGACGGCGGTGCAGGTCATGGCCCGCAGGGGCACGGGCACGTCGCCGACGACGTGCGGCGTGGACCAGAAGAAGGCGTCGGCGTCGAAGACGTAGAGCTCGTTGAAGCACGCGCGCGAGTCGCAGCCGCCGAAGACGTAGACGTTGGACCCGATGAGGGTGGTCGTGTGCGCGCGCAGCGCCGTGTGCGCGGTGCCCGAGACGGGCGCCTTGGACCAGTACATGCCCGAAGCCGGGGCGGGCAGCACGTCCGGGGCGGTCTTGGGGTCGGCTAGCGGAGGGAAGGGTGTGAAGGTGCCTTTGGCGGCGTGCGACGAGCGGGACCCGGAGCCGTGCCGCGCTCCTGTCGAGGAGGTTGTTGTTATTGCAGAGGCGCCCCCTGGTTTGCCGGCGATGGCAGACGTCGACCTGAGACCTGGATGCCGGCGAGACAGAGTGCCTCCGCTCCCACTGCCTTCGGCGGCGGACGAGTCCTGCCTCTCTCTCGTTTGGGTGTCGTCGCCATTCTTCTGCGGGGTGCGAGCCCCTGTCGTGGTGGAGGTGGCAGCAGGGATCTTGTTGGTCGGTAGAGGGGCAATAGAGATGTGCGAGGCGGCGGTGGTGGTCGTGGACGTCGATGCGACGGAATGGGACCTCTGCCGTATGGAGATCTCGGGCGGTTTCCGGCGGCGGTCCTGGCTCTTGGAGGAGAGGTGGCCGGGCGTGTGGCTGCGGACTATGGGAGGCGCACGATCCTGGGCCTCGCTGTCGTCGTCCTCGTCGTCGACGCCATTGCCCTGCTGAGGAATCGTGGGAGAGACGGCCTGTATCTTTTGTG